GTGATCATGAGTGAGAAGTTCATGATGCATGATTGAATATTTTTAGTTTCGGATTATCCGGATTCGTTTTTTCAATTCTGATTCTGAACTGATATTGTCTTCGTTCGCACCTGACCCCCTGCCAAGGACATTGAATTGAACCGGATGGCGGGAAACACAATCTCAATCCCTGTGGTTGGGGCAATAGCCGCAGTGCTTTTGGGCAGCACGCGCTTGGTGCATCCAATGGGTCTGCCACGCCCGCTACCACCGGCCGATGTTGCTGCTGGCTCATGTACAAGTCCAACGTGGATTGGGCCGCAACGAGCAGGAGAAAAATGCAGTGAGTGGGATATCTTAGTGCCAAAAACAGGCCACAAAAATGTTGCAGCTCCGGCTCGGAATTCCCAGATGCCTCTGAAGAAGAAGTGTGTCCAGAAAAGGCTGGAGCAGTGTCATTTCAAAAGGAAATGACACGTGAACCGCTGGGGGACTGATGCATCTACATCTACTCATGAAACAGTATGGGAAGCATAGAGTGTAACAGCTGAGGAAAACCCAAGCCCACGGCATGACATATGTTCCCTGCAGCAAGTAGCGTCAACAACAAGGAATCCAAAGGGACCACCTCTAGAACGAACACTGAGATGCCGAGTCCCCCTATAGTGGCTAGCGGCTACCGGCTACCGGAAAAGCCGAGAGCACGGTGGCCCCGCTCGGCCGTGCGATGTCTGTTTGTTTGGGATCCAGGGGTCGGGATCCAGTGTCGTTGGGTGTGTGCAAAGACGCTACTAGGCTAGGGGCTCTTGGCATCGCTACTAAGAGCAAAGACACTACTAGGGGTTCCAGGCATCGCTACTAGGAGCAAAGACACTACTATAGGCTAGGGACTATAGGGGCTCCTGGCATCGCTACTGGGGCCGCCTCTAGAACGAAGACTGAGATGCCAAGTCCCCCTACGCTGGACAGAAGCCCTGATACAGTTTGGGGCCGCTCAGGAGTCAAAAAGACTAGACTAGACTAGACTAGACTGTAGTGCAGTGCAGCTGCACATTTGCGCAGCCGCTGTGTGGGGGAGCATCGGCGGACGGCGGTTGTGACATACGTTCCCTGCAGCAAGTAGCGTCAACAACAAGGAATCCACTGAGATGCCGAGTCCCCCTATGCTACTAAGTGGCTAGCGGCTAGCGGCTACCGGCTACCGGAAAAGCCGAGAGCACGGTGGACCCGCTCGTCCGCACGATGTCTGTTTGTTTGGGATCCAGGGGTCGGGATCCAGTGTCTTTGGGTGTGTGCAAACACGCTACTAGGGGCTCCTGGCCTCGCTACTAAGAGTGAAGAAGACGCTACTAGGGGCTCCAGGCATCACTACTAGGAGCAAAGACGCTACTATAGGGACTATAGGGGCTCCTGGCATCGCTACTGGGGCCGCCTCTAGAACGAAGACTGAGATCCCGAGTCCCCCCTACGCTGGACAGCAGCCCTGGTACAGTTTGGGGCCGCTCAGGAGTCAAAAAGATTACACTAGTGCAGCTGCACATTTGCGCAGCCGCTGTGGGGGAGCATCGGCGGACGGCGGATTTGTGTGTGTGTGTTTTTTTTTTGGATTTCTTGATTTCCAAAAACGACAGTTTTTTGGATTTCTGGAACTCCAAAAAGTTGATTTTTTGGGGATTTCCCGAAAGTGAAAAAGTCGATTTTCTTGATTTCTTGAATTCAAAAAAATCAACTTTCTTGATTTCTCGAACTCCAAAAAATCGATTTTCTTGATTTCTCGAACTCAAAAAAGTGAACTTTTTCACTTTTTGAGGTTCGGCGCGAAACATCAGACACCGGCCTAAACGTTATTCCTAATAAATACTTCATTGATAAAATGCCAAAGATGGCAAACAAAACACTGATGAAATGCCAATGATGGCCAATGATGCACTGCAGATGTTGACAAATGGTAAGTTGATGAAATGCCATAATGGCAACAAATGACAACTGAATGCGACAAATGTTTTATCTTTTCTGGAACTGGCTAGGTCTAGCTGAACCACTTGTGGACCAATGGTATGGCCTCCTGGTATCCAACTTCATGGATTTGTTTGGCAAGTTGGGCTGACTCAATGACCTCTGGCTCTTGGCCTGGTGCCTGGTAGACTCTGTACATGGCCATGGATGTGCGGCACAAACTGTGGACAACAGCCCACTTGGATCTCATTCTACCATCAGGATTTGGTGGTGGCCTTGGATACCTGAGTTGGTTAAAACAACAAAAATAAAGTTTAAATACAATTGGAGTTGAACAATAAATAAAACATCTGGTCAAGTCACTTTTGGCTAGTGCCATCACTGAAGTACAGGACCAACTTCAGCTGGTTGGCCTCCTCTGTCATGGCATAGTCGTCAATCTGGATGGTAGTAGCTGACATGGCTAGAAACCTCTGGAAACCTTGCTTGTATGGATAGCTAAAATGGCTACAACAATGACACCTCAGAGAGTTGAACCATACACCATGGATAGCTACTAGTGGAAATTCTATTCATAAAATAAACAACAAATGACAACCTATGGCTGTAGCACAACAAGTGTAATACGACAAATGATCTACCCTTTACATAGATAGGTTGGCACCAAAATGTTGAATGCTACAATGCAAAACTGGCTATGGAATAAATTGCTTTGTTGATGAAATGCCAAACTGGCTATGAAATAAATGGCTTTGTTGATGAAAAGCCAAGCTGGCTATGAAATACATGGCTTTGTTGATGAAATGCCAAACTGGCTATGAAATACATGGCTTTGTTGATGGAATGCCAAGCTGGCTATGAGATTGGCAACAGGATCTGCGCACACTTTTTTTTCACACCAAAGCTTGTCAGTGGAAGAAGGTTGGCTGTCATCTCCTTGGTCTTCACTTGGCCTTGTCCTGGTGGGTCTTCTTGGACTTGGTCGCCTTGTTGGCCTTCATGGTCTTGGTGACCTTCATGGCCTTCATGGTGCTGGAACCAGTCTTCTGCATGGTCTTCATGGCTTTCATGGCCTTGTTGGCATCTGGTAGCTCTGGATGCTCTGGGACCTTGGGCACAGTGTGGCCTTTGGCCTCATCCTTGGACCTGATCTGGCAGCCATGGTCCAAGTAGGACTGGAACCAACTCTGGCCGCACAACTGGCACCTGGTCATGGTGCCAGTCTTCCAGATCCAAACCCAGGACTGGCAACCTGGCTTGGAGCATGCCAAAGCCAAATGGGGTGCCAACTTTGGCACCTCAGTTGGAGCACCAATGGCTGGCCGCTTCACCACAGTGGATGGCTTCTTGGCAACCATGGCTGTTGTGGCTGTGGTGGCCTGGAGCTCTGGAACACAGTGGCTTGAACACCTGGATGGCAGCTAGTTACCAAAAGGCATTTGGTGGCTGTGGTGACCTAATGGTAACAAAAAATATTGGTGTGTTGATGGAAAGCCAAACTGGCTATGAACAAAATTGGTTAGTTAAAATAATGCATATGAAATACATTGGTTTGTTGATAAAATGCCAAACTGGCTATAAATTGCTTTGTTGCTATACTGCAATATATTTGCATATGATATATATTGGTTTGTTGATGGAATGCCAAGCTGGCTATGAGGCAAATGGGCTTCTTCATATAATACCATACTGGCTGGTATCCAAAAAAATTATAGGTTAACTAAAATGTAACAGGATCTTAAACATACATATACATCTATGTATGGGTGAAATACTATCATAGTTGATGAAATGCCAGAATGGACAGTTGAATGACCACTTGAGTAATTCATTTTTTCCTTGGCCAGCTCTGTTGGTCTGGTGTGAAACTAGCCAAAACACTTGGTTGGCCCGTGGGTGGCAAAGGAGACCACCCAAGGTTGGCCACAGAGCCTGCAGGCTTGGTGAGTCTTGGATTTGGTTTTCTCAATCCAAATCCAACTGGTACAATTCTGGTTGGAACAGACTTGCTTGTACCAGGTTGGGCTATCATTGGTGAAGAAGACAGTGAGATCCATTACTTCTGGTGGCCCTGGCATGTAAACTCCACCTGGAGTAGCCTGCCCGCTCATGGCAGGGTTGGCAGGCCAAGGAGCAATAGTTGGAACCTCCCAGTGGTCTGCCTGTTGGCCTTGGTCTGGTTGCCACATCCACTGGGCCAAGCTCTGCTGCTGGGGCTGCTCTTCTTGGCTTTGGTTCCCACCCATGGCTTGGAAGTACCTCTTTCTCTCGGTTTGGCTGGTAGCTGGTAGCAGTGTGGCTGCAGGAGATGCAATGACCTCAAGAAGCCTTGGTAAAGAGCTTGGCTGATGAACTGCCAAGGTGGCTGATGGAATGCCAAAGTGGCAACATCTCTGCTTCAACATGGACTGTCAAAGCAATGGCTAGCCATGAAAACAGTTAATAAAATATGATACACACCCATGGCTGCAATGCATTTGTGCATTTTTTCACCAGGCTTGAAAGTCAGCCAGGTTCTTGGACACATTTGGAACCTTCAAGGCCCAAACTTTGGTGCATTCCATTGGCTTGGCTGGCTAATGTTCAAAGTGGATTGCCATGTCCTGCCACAATGAACACAGTTAGGCCACAAACCTGGCCCAATTTTGGAACACCAAATCCAACCTGGGCATTCTGGGGTGGCACATTGGTAGTACAATCCCCAAGTGGATGTCAGATGGCTTGTCCAAGCCAGGTTCCTTTCGATGAGCTTGGCATTTGGTTGAACTTCTGGTGTTTGCCCTGCTTCTGGCTCTTGCATGGCTCAGTCAGTTTGGCAGCCTGGTTGTGAGCACTCCTTGAACAACAGTGGCAGCAAGCAGACATTGGCCTTGAACAATTCTTTACTATGGAGAATACTTGAAGGGCCATGGTTTGGCAGACTGAACATGTCCTGTAAGGTTGTAAAACATTTGGCATTTGATGCAATGCCATCATGGCTGCTTTGCTATGGACACAGCTGCAGCAGCTTGCGCACAATGTTTTGCAACATGTTGGAGGCATCTGTGGCACTTGAACTAGGATAGCTACTTTGTGGCTTTCAGCTTCTTTTTGGGTTGGGAGCTTTCTCCTCCACCCATGTTCTCATTATCTTCAGGCTTTGGGTACAATAGCAACTGGTTGGCATCAATGGCTACGGTGTTGGTGAGGACTGGGATCTTCACATTGCCACTGCTAGTTGTCATGGTGATGGAATGGATCTCCATGTTGCATTGTTCACTGCCACTCTTGCACCACCAAAATGGCACCAATGTCTCTTGGCTCTTGGCATCTTCACCCCAGGCTTGGTATTGCTTCCAAGGGTGGATTTGCCACTTGATGCCACCATGCTCCATGAGTATGCACCCCCTTGGCTCCTTCCCCTTCAATTTGGCCAATGAGCCCAATGGCACCAACTTCAATTGTTTAGCCTTTTTGATTGCTTGGAGTGTCCAAAGACCCATTGGGTTCTGAGCAAAAGCAATCTGGTTGTGATCCACTTGGTGCTTTTCACATGCTCCATGCAAAGCCATGGTTGCTTGCAACTTGGAAAGCTCTTCTTTGGCCATGGGTACCTTGTGGGGCAGCAAAGAAGCAGCAGTCTCTGCTGGGCAAATCTGTGGCATCTTTGCTTTGGACACCTTCCACTTTGGAAGATCATCAAATGGAACATCAATGCTGAGCAATGGTCCTAGATGTGGCCTGTGCACCATTGTGATGGCATTGTCCTTGACATTGGTGAACTCAAAGACCAAACCAGGATGGTCCTTCTGGCAATTGTACCTGGGCTGCCCAAAACAGGAAGCACATGCACCAGTGACTGGCTATTTAGTGATTTGCCTAGTGGTGTAATGCAAATGGGCAACCAAAAGCTTACATTGCACAAGTCCAGGTGCACTTCACCTGGCTTCATGTGAGGGTTCTGAATCAAAGCCATGTCCTGTGCACTGGCACTCAGCACATCTTGAGGTGTCTGGCTTTCAAGCTCTTCCTTGGCTTCACATGTGTGAGTTTTGGCCATCTCTTGGGTAAAGGCTTCCAAGATTTGGCCCAAATCCTCATAGGACTTGGATTCCCTGCTGTGCTTTTGTTTGCCAACCAAAAACAGGGTGGTCCTGGTGCACAGTCTGCCAAAGCATTTATAGCTGTGGTTCTGGTCCTCCACAGTACTCTTGGCAACAATGGGCCAAGCACCTTGGAGCTGGTGTTCTGCTGTGATGACCTTCTCTTTGGCATTGGCAGTCTTCAGCTTGTCCAGATCGGCTTTGGTGAGAATCCTTTGGATGTTGTCCTGGTGCTTGTTTGTCCCCAACATGGTGCACCACATGGCCACTCGAAGCATGGGAAAGATTTCACCAGTGACCTTGAAGTTGGTGTAGCACATTGCTTCCAAAACATCTTGGCCAACTTGGAGCTGGATGTTGAAATTCCTACCTTGAATGGTGGTCGCATTTGCAAATAACTAGCTAATGGTTTTGCTTGCCCAAATCATCCAAATTGGTAACATTCATGGTTGGTGGTATAGAGCAAACAAATGGTATTTGTGAAGCCTTTGGTTGCATCCAGGCCACTGAACTTTTGTAGGAAATCCAACATGGGAAATTTTAGCCCACCTGAAAATGTTTTCACAAAATGACTGAGGTAGGTCAAAACTTCAGGCTGGCAAGTATTGGCAGCTTGGACTTTCTCCTTGGCTTCATGAAGTGGTACATTGAGGCTGAACAGGTGGCCAAGCTGGGCAGCAAGCTCTAATTCATTTGGCGCCTTGGAGATGGAGTTGGCAGAGTTCATGGCCCCTTGCAACAGGGTGGGTAGCATGGGCCATTGGCCTTCCACCAAATGGCTCAAAATGAGCCATGACCACCCATTCTGGATGAGGTCCCAGCATGGATCATCTTTGCGCACTTCCATGGGAGGCTGCTCATCTGGCAGGCAACCATGGTTGATGGCCCTCAGAAAAGCTGTGGTGTGGCTGGTGGACAAGCTGAGGAAACCTCAGCATGGACATGAACAAATGGAAGCAATGGAAGCATGGAATGCCAGCTACTTGTTTGTGATTCTTTAGGCTGACAAAAAGCATAAACCTTATAGCTGTCATGGCAACCAAAGAACGCTCAGAACCTGTCATGGGTGCCATGGCACCATTGGCCTCCTTGATGAGGTTCTCATTGGCCATCAGCTGCTCAAACCTCTTGGCAGGGTCTGGTGGGATCTCTATGGCCATGGATTCTCCAAGGAATTGCCTTTTCATACCAATGGCCATCATCTTCTGGCCTTTGTCCCACATGTCCAACCATGAAAGCATTTGGTTGGCCCTGTTGTGGGGGTGGCACAAAACTTGGCTTGGTGTGACCACAGAGTGGTAGGCCAAACCTTGCTTTTTGAGAGTGTGGACAACCTGGTCCACCATTTGGTTCACTGGCAATTTGGATGCCAGTAGATTGTTTATGGCTTTCACACAGGCTGGGTCAACCACACTCATGGCGGTCAGCAAGTGTGTTGAGCCAATGCAACTTTGCTGGAGCCAATGCATGGTGGTGGATACCTGGTGCTATTGTTTGTGATTCTGGGTTACAAGAAGCCAAATTCAAATGCTTCAAAGTTGGTTTCATAATGATGCAATGCCATCAGGCTGCCAAGCAATGGTAGAATGCCACAAATTGGCACACAGCATCTGACAGTAACTGCAATTCATTTTTTATAGCCATTGCCTCTGGTGATTTGCTACCTCTATGGCAGCTAGTCTTTGGGAACTGATGCCTTCTTCTGGTAAGGCTTCCTTGTCTTCAAAGTATCTTGGTCCTCTTGCAAGAGCTCAAAAATTGGCACCAGCTGGCTCTCTTCCAATGGCATCACCAGATCTGACTTGGTTGGCCTCTGCCCCTGCATCAAGCACTCAATGGTAGCTTCACCCAGAGGTACTTGGAGAACCTCTGGGTCATCAAGTCTTCTTTTCTTGGCCTTTGTCCTCTGGGTGCTCTGGTCACTTTCTTCATAGACAGTCTCTTGTGGCTGGTCTTCACCAGCTCCTCTGGTCCACAGTTGGTTCCTCTTGGTAATGAAGTCTTGGAAGCCTGTGTGGTTGGAAAAAGAAGCATTCTTGCCAACCTTGCCATAAATGATTTGGTTGAGTTGCTGGCATGTAGGTCTCAGCTTCAACCATTGGCGGCCACCATGCTCTTGAATCAAATTGGCAGGCACTGGGATTGCTTTGCAATCATTGCAGCTAATGGTTGTGATTGTTTGGATGTCAACCTTCATGTTGCACCCTTGGGCAAAGTAACTGCACTTGATGATGTTTTTACAAAATTGAATGCCATGCTGGCTGATTATTCTTATGGTGGTTTATTGAAAAGTTCACATTAGAATAGAACTTTTTTAATTTTCTAAAACAAAAAAACTTACAATGTGGAATATGATTTTTCAATACTTATATGTTAGTTGATTTTTACTAACTCTGCCTAACTCAAGTTAAAAATCAACATTGACTTAACATAGTTAGCTAAAAGTTAACAGCTTTTACTAAAACATCTACTTAACTTAACAAGTTATAACTGTTTAAGCCCTACTTAAGCCCTACTTATAACTTGTTATAACTAGTTCACATACAGTTATAACTTGTTATTAAATCATTTAACATCGATAACATGTTATAAAAAAACAGATTATTTAAGCACACTTTAACATCTTACCATCTTACGTTTCCACACGTTTCCTCGCTATTTCACACGAAACTGACGCGTCACGCTTCCGTGCAAAACCCTCTCCAAAAGCTTCCCCCAATGGCAGCGCCTTAGCGTCCTACTGCGAACGGCTGCGCACGGTTGACAACGGCTGCAGTCGCTCAAACAACAAGTCGCGAACAAGGCTCTACCCCCAGACCCCCAGAGTTAAACGAGAACCCTTCGCTACGCATTCGGGAAAAGATTGACCAAGCACGGAACCGCAACTGCAACACAAGAATGGTTTTTTGGATCCCATCCTGAACTGCCTTGACGTCGTCATTCTGGTTCTTGCTGTGCTGCATGACAGCTTCTTTGGTGTGATTTGTCATGCGACCCCCCGTCAACAGCAAATCCAACTCACTCAGGGCTGTAGAGGCTGACAGTGGTAGCTTGAAAGAATCCTGAAGTTCGCAGTTGGTTGCACGATCTTTCCTGACTCCCAAGCCATGTTTACATTCTGTGACTCCCTGGTGATCAATCAATGAGAACATGCCGTTGAGGAGATTTACCGCAGTGGCTGGATCGAAGATTTGAAACTCTGGTGCCACCTGCCCTGATGGCAGCTCATAGTCAGGCATGTAGAAGTTGAAGACGGTTGGAGATGCGAAGGGTTCCTGGCCAATCTTTTCTATGACCTCTTCGAACAGCAAGGTTCTCTTCTCCGGATCTTCAAATTCCATTGCCCTGAGGAAATGCACCAACTTGATCAGCGGCTCCCGGAATGCTCCCTCATTCATCTCCCTTGCCTCTGGGTGAAGCAAAATTGCGGCTATAGTGGCACCCAAATCACCATACTGCCCCGAGTATGTGCGACCATAGCGTCCTGTGCGGAAAGCTGTAGCCACCGCTTGGACATATTCTGCCGAAGGGCTAGAGGTGACAAAACGTTGGATGAACCGGTAGGAAATGAAAGGAGCTGTGTTCGGATGATATACCAAGTGCTCCAGCAAAGTCTCGATCTCGAAGATGGCAGATCGCGCACTGAAAGCACTATCTGGCCCAACTACCGGTGGGTTTCTGAAAGATTTATCTCCAACAAAAACGACACTGCGAATGTTCCGGTAGAACTTGTTCTGATACTCAAAGATTGTTTTGGTATCAAAACTTTCACCCTCGAAGAATGCATTGACTTCCCCGCAGACACTGCATGAACTTTGAGGCTTGAAGGCGCCAACTTTCAGCTCGCTGAGTTCACTGGGGGTCGGCAATCGGTCAAACACGGCTTGAATCTCAATGCGTGTGGGGCACCAGCAGGACTCAGCAAGAGATGTGCAACCATCTGGGCAGTTCTTGACATCAGGAGGTCCATTGTACCAATTCACTGTAATCTGGTTCACTGCGCTCTTATCTGAGTGATGGCTTGCAACCTTGCCATCTACATGCACGGAGATGTTCACGGAGCAGGGTTCCGTAGTCCACACCCGTGCAACCTCTGAATTGTAGCCACATTTGCTGGTCTCTGTCATCCTGCGACGCAAGGACACGCAGTTCGAAGCCGTATGAGTCCAGCTGAACGGAATTTCAGTTGTGTTCAGGGCACCCACTACAGAACGGGCAGAATCTTTCAGCGGGGAACGATTATCAATTTGAACTTATTATGATTAAGTTTTTCTTGGTCGAGGATTCCTCTAGAACAAAAGGGCAGAAAAGAAGGAAAGCTGGTGCAGGGTGTCATGCATAAAAGTCAGATTGCGCTTCAGGCAAGAAAAGCCTATTCAATCTATTCTGCTGCTTTCGTGGTTCATCTTAGAAGCAATGAAAGGCCAACAAAAGCCGGGAGGAGGCAGGAAAGGCCCCGCTGGCGGGAATAAATGAAGATACATGACTGCTCACTTGCGGGTAGGCAGCTCCAAACAAGCTATATATACTATATACTCCTGCTGGAGCCCTGATCTCCTCACACGTTGTTGCCACGAACAATGCAAGGACCCCACCGTCAGCCAATAGCCGTCAAAAAACCGTCAAAACGGACATTGCATATGCGTTAAAGCTGCGATCGCGATGCTGTGAATCATCTGCCAACAATCCCCTTACATTCACTGCGCTCGCAAAGCAATACGTCAGGCTAGCCCGCGGGTTGGCTTTCGAAATGTGCGTGATACGGTGCACCTCAACACTGCCGGCAGCTGTTTGAAGACCAATGGTGAAGGGAGAACAAACAGCCACACCTGCACGTGACTTATCCGAGAATCAGCTGCACGGCAGGAGCTTAGCCATACCTTGTGAATCTTGAAATGCAAGACTGTAGTTAATTTGGAACATCCTTGCACTGTCACTATGATAATATGGCGCGGCAGTTTGGCATCTGCCCCGTCCATTAATCATACATTCCACAGGCGTAAGGGTATTTCAGGATCTTCCCCAGGTGAATGTCGAGTCTAGTATGCTGAAGTATTCGATGTTGGCTCAAGCAAGTCCCAAATGTCCTGTCACAAATCTTCATTCCAATCTCTTCACAGTTCTGCTCTGCCAAAGGCAAAGGAGCCAACTCCAGGTCAAAGCCACATACATGATCCTCTCGATACGACCCATCTGCAGAACAATCCACATCATAGCCTTGACCCTCCGCAAAGCACCGCTTTTCACAGAATCGGTTCCTGACCCACCAGCCGTCGTTTTTGCAAGAGTCCTGCCACGGTGCAGCCAGCAAAGAAAGCATTGAACACCTCTGAACAACTCCGTTCCCGTCACATGCGTCCAAGGAAACATGCATTCGACCCCGCCTTGGAAACCCCTTCCTAGGAAACACTCCTGCCCTCGTATTGTGATATCAAGGATGTTCGCCATATATTCGAGACAAAAGCTAGCCCAATTGCTTACTCTTACAGTTTGGGCACCTTGATTCCAACAGCTGGCTTGGAGCCAACATACCACAAATCGCACAAGTCCCTTCTGGTGTAGACGGCCCTGTCTTCGTCTTCGTGTTTATATATTGTGTTTTTTCATATTTTTATCTGTGTATTCTTCTTCTTCCTCCTCTTCTTCTTCTTCTTCTTCTTTTTTTAATATTCTTCTTCTTCCTCCTCTTTATCTTCATCTTCATCTTCACCAAACAAAAAGAGCGACTGTCTGCCAAGCATGCCAGTCAGCATGTCACAAGCACGTTTCCACGGAATGAAAGTCAGTGACCAGCTGCTGGCTCGTGGTGCGTGAGGCGTGTGGCCATGGAACTGGCTGAATGTTTTGGGCAGTTGGTTTGTCACATCATGTCGTGGCAGCAACATAACTGTCACATGCGAACTTGCAAAGATTCCTGGAATACACATCCTCGAGCACAACCAATGAATACCATGCTAAAGTCACATTTGGCGAGTAGCGTCCCCATGGCACAGCTTCAAATGAGAAAAACACATCATGCACAGGAAGTCACATCAATGGCACAGCGTGTTTCAGCAGCATGGCAGTCAGCAAAACAATCGCGCAGCGATGAAATCTGTCAGTTTTGTGCCAAAAACCGGCGTCCCAATCCCAATGGCAGGACACAGGGGTCCCGAGATCCTAGTGGCACACCATCATTCAATGCATGTCGCAAGGCATTCTTTCCCGCAGGAATCGTAGTGGCGCAGCGCTGAAGTAGAATCCTCAAAAGGATGGATAGGAGATCTCACTGGCACAACAGCATTCGTTGAAACAGCAGCAGCAGCAGCAGCAGCAGCAGCATGATGATGCAAAATGTAGATCAAAC